AATTGACAGTGTGGAAACATATGCTTCTGCAGCCATTCATCATTCCCTGTTTTGTGGAAGACAAATGCCTTTAATGTAGAGCCCAGTGCTATTTTTACTACAAAACCGTAAAAATAAATATATGCTTTGAAGTGTGCTACTTGCTTCAGTGAGGATAATTTGCATTAAGCAAGTATCAATTATGTATTTATCCAAATGGACAAAGTAGAAGACTCCTACCTATGCACTCTGAGTGCATTAGGCACTTAAGGGCATATCCTTAACTGACACAAAATGTTGCAGATCCTTGGAGTGCAGTGGAGCTATAACAGCTTGTACCAATTCAGGATCCGTTTTCTAGAGTTTTCAGATAGTCATCTCTTTTGGGGTTCAGTTTTCTAGTACCTATACAACAAAATCTCAAATGCAGTCTTATTTATGGTAGCTTATTGCAAGATAATGTTTTGCATGAAGACAGGGGCTTTGATTATCAGGAGTTTCATTAAGGCGTCTTTGTCATGATCAGACCACTGCCTTTTAAATCCCTGTTCAGATGGTAGGCAAGCTAAGCTGATCTCCTCCAGAGATGGGTGGAGCCAGTGCAATTCCCGAACTCCCTGGGGCGCATTCTCACTGGCCTTGACAGCTACTCTGTTGATGGCCTGGTCAATTTGTAAAATAGTACACTAACTCTGACCATAGACACGTGACGAAACTGCCTGCATTTGGCATAGCTTGGGGGACCATCATTTTGCTGCATAGTCAAAGATTGGAATTGTAGATGCTTGGTCTTGTCCAGTTTATAAGGATTTGTTTCAATTGCTATTACCCACTGGCACAGAGGACATCCTCAGGGGGATGTGGGCAACCATCTTGAACTGTACCTGTGCCTGTGCTGGCTTGTGAAAGCCAGCCAGGGGAGACTGGAGCCATTGCTGGTGGGGGTTGTCAGTGTCTCCCTTCAAGAAGACAGGATGTCAGACATTCTTAAATCTGTGATTGTCTGGCCTCTGCTCAAGAAACCATCACTTGATGCTGACTCCAAGTCAGCTGTTGATCCCTGTTCCCAACCTCCCCTTCTTGGGGAAGGTCATTGAACAGGTGGTTGCTCAACAGCTCCAGGGACATATGGATGCAACTGGATTCTTGGGCCCTTGTCAGTCTGTCTTTTGTCCTGGGTGTAGCACAAAGACTCATGGCTTTTGTCAATGATCTACACTTGGGGTCAACAGGGAAAACTATGCCCTGTTGATCTTGCTAGATCTTTCAGCAGCTTTTGATAGAGTTGCCCATGAGGTGCTTAGATAGTATTTACAAGACATGGTGATTATTTGGTTCTGCTCTTTCCTAGCAGGGAGGTCCCAGAGAGTGGCAGTTGGTGAGTGCTCATTGTCCTCCTGGGACCTTTCCTGTGAGGTCCCTCAGGGCTCCATTTTGTCACCTCTTCTGTTCAATGTGTATATGAGGCTACTGGGCATGATCATGCAGAGCTTTGGAGTAAAGGGCTATCAGTATGCTGATGACACCCAGCTCTACCTCTCCTTTTCATTCAACCTGGGCTTTGCTGTCTTTGACCTTTCCCATAACTGTTGGCAAGTGAACTAACTGAAGCTGAATCCAGACAAAGCAAAGGGGATGGTGGGCAGATCACTTGACCTGAGTGATCTGATGATAGGACCACTGATCATGGTGGTGTCCACACTCCCTTTGTCACTCAGGGTTTCAGCATTTGGTTGAAAGTGCCTCTTGCCTACTCCATCTGGTGCGTCCCTTTCTTTTAGTACAGGCTCAGTACAGGTCACCATCATCCATGCTTTCCAAACCACAAGGCTGACTAGTAAAATGCACTTTGTGTGGCTGCCCTTAGTGACCATCTGGAAACTGCAGTTGGTGCAGAGTGAAACAGCCAAATTTCTGACAGGGGTGGTTCACCAGGAACACATAACTCCAGTGCACTAGATTCTGCACTGGCTCCTAATAGCTTTCCTGGCACAATACAGAGTGCCAGTTTTGACCTGTATGACCCTAAACACTTTGGGCCTTATATACTTAAGGAACTATCTTTCCGCTTACGCTCCATCACAATCCATCATAGATCAGCCAAGAGCAACCTACGACTAATACCATCAGTGCCCCAAGTTCACGAGATGAAAACAGATGGGAAGCTGTTCTTGGTAATTGCTTCTAAGCCTTGAAACTCCTTCCTGCTTGAGGCCTGCTAGAGCCTGAGCCTGGACATCTAGAAATGTTGTAAAAGCCTGCTTTTTGGACAGGTATTTATCAAACCAGGCTGGATGGGATACTGTTTAAGGAGCTTTCATTTAAGATGCTATTCCATTTCCTTTTATATGCTGTTTCTGTCTCTTTCTATAAGATGCCATGAGCAGCAAACAAACTGATGCTTCTGTGCAGTAGACCTCAGATCTATATGACAGTATATGATAGCAAACTTGTACTCTTCAAAGTATACAATAGCTTCAAAAGAATAAAGTCTGAGACACATTAACAGACAACATAACATTTTCCTTATTGTGTCAAATAGTGAAAACATTCCAAAGAAAATCTCTTTGGATCTAAAATATGCTTAGGGGATTTAAGTTATTGCTGTTGTTATCATCATTTGGATAACTGTGACTAGCCTGTGCTGCAATCCAGGCTAGTTTGCACTTCTCTTGTGTATGATCTTTATACTTCTTAGAGGCTATTGATAAACCATTTAAAAATCCCTTTGATGTTCTTATGAAGGAAATATTTAAGGTTTCACAACAGAATTTAGGATGTTATCACCAGAGTATTTTTCTAATGATTACTTTATACTCTAGAAGGATATTAGAATTTTTAACAGATTTTCTCTGATTGTTTAATAGTTATTGTACAGTTCTCTTAAGATTGCTGATAGTGTAATATTGATTTGGGAACATCATTGGCCATTATTTAGAAGGTAAAAATTACCTCCAGTTTTGTTTTTTTGTGTGGCTATTGTTTGAAAAATGTTAAATTATTTTAGAAATCCCTTTGCAAAACTATTGTAAGATTTAAAAATGGGGACAGATCTTCAGTGGGGTTGACTTGTTCTAACTCTATAGATTTTAGTATTACTTGGGAATCCTTGGTTTTAATTAAATTGTTGCTGTTCATGACCAGTAGAGAAAAGATAGGGTTCTGTATATATTGACTGTTGGACCAGACCCTGGCTATGAAACATGTTTCTTTTTCTCTGATTGAAATTCATGCCCATGGAGTGACCCAACCAGCAAAATGGTTGCATCTTACTTAATACCATAAATTATAGCCTGAGGGTATGTCCATACTGGGTGCATCCATACATGCATTTGATCTGAGATCAGTTTACTTGTGAGCAAATTACTCACAAGTAAACACTCCCAAGCAGGCGTCTACACGTGCAGAGACATGGGAGAAGATCCGCTGCTCCTGGCAGCCAGCAAACTGCTCCCACTTCCTGCGGCCTTGCAATGGGCTCCTGCTGCCACCAGGGGGAGCTCAGGGCTCCAGGGGCTGGCAGGGAGCACTGGGACAGGAAACAGCTGTCCCCTGGCCAGAGCTGGCACATTGCTTCCTGCCCCCAGGGGACTGCCTGCTGCTGGGGTGGGGACAATGTCCTCCTGCTCCGGCAGCAAGGAGCTCCCAACCGCAGCTCCCTGATCAGGGCAGGGGACTTGGGAAGAGCTGCAGGGGAGGAGCAAGTCCCAGCCCCCTGCCCTGATCCACCAGTGGGGCAGCTAGCAGGAAGCCTCTTGCTGGGTGGGGATTTCCACTGGTGGATGGGACAGCCGCAGCTCTTTCCAAGCCCTGTGTCTCAATCATCCGATCAGGGTGCAGGGCTGGGACCCATCCCTGACCAGTTCTCAGCCCTTGCTCCTTGATTTATTGTGGGGTAGGGGCTGGAAAGCCTGTTCCCCACTGGGCTGTGCAAGTGTGAAGCTGGGTGGGGAACATGCTGGGGAGCTTGTTCCCTGCTCAGCTCTATAAGCACGGAGCTGGGATGGGGAACGAACTCGGGACCTGGATCTCCTACCCTAAATCCTGCAGCCGTGGAGCTGGTGCTGGGAGATAAGGATCCCAGCGCCCTGATCCCTGATCGCAATCTCAGATTGGGGGGCTTGGAGCTCCCTACTGCTGGGGCAGGGAGACATAGCCCCTGCCCGGGCTCCAGTGACAGAGCCCGCCCTGGCAGCAGGCATCTCCTGGGGGCTGTGAGCAATGTCCCACTCCCTGGTGGCTGGGTGACCCAGAGCAGATTCATTCCCAGTCATTTGTCTACACAAGCTCTACTGTGCAGTAACTATTCATGAGTAAATTCGCTCATGATTAGTGAGGTTACTGTGCAGTAAGTGTGTGCACGTGTAGAACCACATGCTTAGTGTGCAGTAAACAATGCTACTTCACAGTAAAGCATTTCGTATAGACGCACCCACTGTTTCCAAGGTGATGCCAAGACCATTGTCAAGAACAAGTGCCTTCTCCTCATGGCTTGCTGAAACATATGATTATGTAGACACTTTTTTGGTGAATGTCTAGAAAGGCTGTCAGGAACTTAATCTCAGGAGTGCTCCTGAGGTAGTGCTGGGTGCACCTGACAGCTGTGTTGGTGACCACAGGACATTTTTTACGCATGCAGAGTAGGAGCAAATGGCAAGGCTTATTTCTTGGCAGTGGTCTTGGAATCACTGCAGAGGTGGTTTATACATATCTTTAGGGGAAATTAAGTAGGACATAGGACCCTCATACAGGCTACCCAAAAGTACATATGGGTGTTTGTACTGATGTGTACATCCCGTGTGTAACAGTGTATGCATTCTTGTACAGTGAGCTGTTCTGTGGCATTATCTGATAGATATTTCCAGATATTGTTTTTTATTATTAATTTAAAGACATTAAGTTAGCATGGCATTAAGTTAAGCTAATGCTATGTGTGTCTATTTTAGACTATATAAAACAATGGCATTCTGCACTTGCTGTCCTTCATACTGGATTCACAAATTAAATTTTTACTACTCCAGGCGGAGGGTTCCAGACTCCAGAGAGAACTACGAGGATATTTAGCTGCTATCAAAGGTAAGAGTTCAAAGTCTTATTTTGTTAGCATTTGTTTTTTAAAAACCTGTTCAGACAAATAGGCTATTATTAATTACACTATGACAAATTGGAATGCAGTCTTTTGGCTTTCTTCATGGACAAGAATCACCGTTGTTCTCCCCATATATCATTTCTGATTTGGAAGCCAGCATCAGCACTGTGGTCTAATCCCAGATTTTCAGAATGTGACCCCTCTTTTTGTAGCATGCAGCCTTACATGCACAAGTTTTTATTCATTATTCTTTGTGCAGACAATTGATTTGTTTCACCTGGACAAACTCACATCTGTGCAGATAGATCAAGCACAAATGAGATTTGCCTGGGTAGCTTCCATTATTCATTTTCAGAGAGGGGCCACCAGTGAACACGCTGACATCTGTTACCACTCCAGTTGTTCTCTGCAGCCGCAGTGCCTCCAGATAGTGCTGCTTTGGCAGTGGGAGCCATTCTTCCCAGGTTTTTAGCCTTTTTGCCTTGAGATGTATCACACCTTTCCAATAATCAGGTTAACTGTACTTCCTTCTGCAGAAGCAGAAAAAAAAGTTTCTTTTTTCATATTAAATCAAGGATTGAAGTTATTTTCTATACTCTTTGTGGAAGCTCAGTGCACATTGGCCAGACATCCAGAAGGAGGTAAATTGCTGTTTAAATCCTTGTGAATATATAACTACATCCAAACTATTGAACACAGTACTTTTTCAAGAAAAGTTTTTTTATTTTGCTGTTTGCCTCTTTAGACAAATTTTAGAAGGTGTTTGAGCTCAGGTAATAGGGGAGGGAGCAGTAAAGAGACAGGGGAAAAGCTGCTAAAGAGATGGTAATAGCTTTGTAATTCTTCACCTGGCTTCTTTTTCAGGTAGCTCTAACATAAACCAGCTGACAGTCTTCTGGCTGCAGTAATTGCAGGTCATAATACAATTTCAAAGGCTTTCAGTAGGCTCAAGAATTCTTGTTGATGGGAATCAAAACCGTAATCAAAACTGTCTGAAATTGTTATTAACCATTTACAACTTGTATAGTCTTGCAAGGAACTGTACAAAGAAAGTCAGACAGGAGCCAGGGCATCCCTTGCGTTATGGATTAGGACGTGTTATTTTATGTTTATAATGGATTACAGCTTCCCTTATTATTTTGACATCTGATTGGGACCAGCTTTGCATCCTCACTATTAAGACCCCTAGTACCACCAGCTGTGCGCTCAGTGAGATTTAATATGCTGTAGTTGCTAGTTGGCCAGATGGTCTTTTTTTCAATAATGGTGACTTTTTTCATGCTGCTCTGAGTTCTTGGATGGTGAAAACAATCGTCCTTTTCCTTTTTAATATTTTGTACATTAAACTTGGTTCTGTACATCAAGCTTACTTTTAACTTTACATAAAAGCCCTTGATCATTTAGTCTAACCCCGTGCCAGAGTCAGGATCAAAAGCCTGTATCCAAATCATTCTATATCAATCTACTGTCTAACCTAGTAGTGAAATTACACAGTCAACCTGAGACAACCACAAGGCACAACATCCTAATCTGCCACTGGTAGAGTAGGGGGATGACAACAGCCAATGTCCTGCTGCTGTAACAATTGTAAAAATATACAGAAAAGATTCCAGGAAGAGGGCCCCACCCCCCACTATGGGGACTCCAAAACCCTCACCATCCATACCAATCTGACCATGGGATAAAATTTCTTTGTGACCCCAAATGTGATTGACCTCACCTTGAGCGGAGGTGCAAAACCCTCTAGCCAGGAACCTCTGAGTTTAAGTTCCAGCAGGAGCATTTGCACACCTTAGTCAAAATCCCCAGCCTTGGCTGTAGCTAACACCCAGTGCTTCTGAGAAAGGATTAAAAAAATCCTGACACATGTAGCACTGGGAGAGTGAAGGGTGTGGGGGGGATTCCCTCCCAGCCCCATGCAGCAATAACAAAGCCAGTCATTTTGAATATCTTATAAGGTAGCTTGTCATCTACATGTAAAAATCTTTTGAACTCATCATGTGCTGAATAAAATATGAGTAACCATGTCACAAAAGGAACGTGATCATAACATGCATCAACAGGTGTCATTGTTGGCAAATGTATTTAGGAAATACCACTGAAGAAAAAGGGATGGGGGGCCCGATTCAAGCACAGCACGTACCATTATACGAAAACAAAATATACTTTGCACTCCAAGAAAACCAGAGCAAAAGAGTACCAGGTGAAGATGCCATGCAGAGGACAGTGTTCTCATATCTGTAAAGTGAAATATTTTGGTAAATATGTTGAGATTATGCAAATATTATACATATTATTTAACAAAAACAATCACATCCTATTGCTTCCCTTTAAACGAGATTGTGTCCTGATTCTCTATGGCCCTGCAAGAAAATCAAGGGTAGTCATTCTGTCTTCCCTTGTATGGTCATGTAGGACTTCAATGAAGCTTGGTTTGCATGGGTATGGAGAAAAAAAGATCTGCTTAAATCAGCTGAGCATGAGGTGAATTTAGATCCATGAATACTCTTTGCTCATTCCTCCCCTGTCGCTCACCTCCAGCAGGCAGCAGAGCTGATGCATATGAAGAGAGAATTTACATTGTCTTGTAAAAAGGCTGTAGAAAATGCCTATTTTTTAAACCCCTATTTCAACAAGTAAGTACTAGTAAGTGCATTGTGTGAAATTCACTTTTTTGCAGAGGGCCCACACAAGTTCTTGTGCCCTAGATACATTCTTTCTAAAATCTATTAAAAGCGACTAAAGTGAGATTTGAAGTGCAATGTAGGGCTGCTGGCCCTAGGGTTGAGCTTTATCCCATATAAGTATCTAAGATAGTTATATATAAAGTATGAAGATAACAGTTAATAGATTGTTGGCTCTTATAGGTAGAGCCTGTTTGCATTTTGTGTCTTGTATAGTGCTGAGCCTGTTGTTAGGATTTAAAAAATAACAACAACAGCAGTACTAATAAACTATATTCTGTCTTCTAAGATATGGTCTTACAAAGAGAAAACTTCCTTACTGTTAATATGTTGCAGAGTCCAAGGAATAATTAATACACTTAGTCACTTTCTAGCAGGAATTATGTTCTCCCTTCTACACCACATCTCCCTGCTGACTGTATTTGTATATTGTCTAGCACAGCAGAACCTGATTCATAACTAGGACTCTTAGGTGCAACAGAATTAAAAATAATAATCAGTCATGTATTTAGATGATTGGACTGTCACAATGTAAGAAGCAGCATCACTAGTGTTGATGAGGAGTAGAATTTTGATATTCAAAACCCAAAATGCAGAAAAAGGCACTAAGATTCTTTTGCATAATTGTGGATACCTTTTGATGAGATGATTCATATCCTCATTAGACTATATACAGTCTGTCCATTTTCAAAGATACCAGAAAAGCAGTGAAGTATCAAGATTCTCAGGAAGTGGCCAAACTTGAACAGATAGTTAACTCTAATTAAAATAATTTTCCCCCTTGTTTGGCAGGCAGCTGACATGGCATGAACTCTAGTAATGGATTTAATTAGGATAACAGAAATTCTAGAAGTTTGAGGTGGAAAAGCCCTAGCAGAGCATAGTCAAATGTACCATTTTTGCCACTTTTTAATACATTCATTTTAATATACAAGGAAGGTACGTTTGTATTTAATATAGTACATTTCTCTAAGAGATGAGTGAGCCTTCTTAAGTCTCTTCTTTCTTGACTGTCTAGATACAGTTCTTTAGTGACTATTGATGAGATTGAAGTGATGATGTTAAATAGATGTAGAATATTTCTAGATCTCTGTTTAAACAATATTAATACTAATAGTGTGTGTGTGGAGAGGGGGGTAAAGGAATCAATAAAATTACCATAACACTCTCCCCTAGTTCCATTATCTGATGACTGGGTCTTTTCTTCAGAAGCTAGAGAGTGACTACTGAATTTTTTGTTATGCCACTAATCATTAAAGAACTCAGTCTCCCTCATTATATTAAGAAGTTTGCTTACACTCATGTGGGGGTGCTGGTAAAAAAGGGGATACAAGGCCAAACGAGGACTGACCAGCACTTAGTTGAGTTGGTACTATCATCAAGATCTTTTTGAATTCCAAATCTTGTCAACCTTCCTCATTTTGGGTCATCTGCAAATGTCAGCCTGCATTTAAGTCTTTGATAAAAATATTAAAAATAAAGTAGACCTAGAATGGGCCCCTTTGGACATGGGCAGCTCTAGGATTTAGAAAAAGGTGGTGCAGACAGTGCAGTGCTTCATCACATATAACACAACACTAAATTTTTCTTCAGTTAAAAATAAAGTAGAAACTTTACTGATATTCTAGAGGCCTAGAGCTGTACTACTGAGTTCAAGATCAAAACAAAAACAAATATAACTTTTTTGGAATGGTCCTTCCTATATCATATATTATGTATAAATCATAACAAACTAGGCAAAAAAACCCAAAATATGTAGACCTGTAGTTATTCGAATTAAATCTACATCTCTTTCAGATTCATAAAGCAAAATCTAGTCATCTTGAGCATCTTATCAATGTATCCAGTGCTTCACTGAGCATTATTTCTACACCTGAGTTAATATGTCTAGCTAAAGTTAAAAGTCTGCTGGACTGATATAGGAGCTACATTACCAGGAGTAGCTGAAAGACAGCATAATTGCAGAAAAAAGGATACTTAATTAGTGGAACCATTAAAGACCATTAAAAAGAAGAGAGGATCATTAACACCTGTAGAATGGAAAGTTTAGAACAGAGGTGAGCAAAATATGGCCTGCGGGCTGGATCTGGCCTGCCAGGTGATTTCATCCAGCCCATGGGCAGGTGCCTATCAATTCACTGTTATCAGGTCTGGCCCCAGGCTGCCCCTGCTGTGCATGCATGGGACTGAGTCCTGCTTATTCCTGCAGGGTAATGCATGCTGCACTCCTATCCCTGCCTGCAGGATGGCCCTGACCCTGGCCCCACAGGTAGGGCTGCGGTGGTGGGCAGGGGAAGTGGAAG